TTTTTTTTTTAAGTTGTTTTTTTTTTTTTTTTTTTGGTAGGTTGAGCTGCTCTCCCACTTTGGTTCTGAACACTACTGTCCACTCAGCCTGATCAGGTGTGTTTAATTAATATGACTTGAATGCACAATTCCAGTACTGTGTATATAACCTATATAACATGACTGAAAGCCACTTTACGCAAGTATGTGAATGCCCCTACACACATAAGCTTGATGTCATTGCGTTCGAAGTGTGTTAGAAACTATTTATAGTGCAGTGCAGGTGTGTGTTGCATACTCAGTATGATCACAAGGAGCGCTATAATGTGTATTAGCCCAAATAGGTCTGCTTCTGTTGTCAACATTTATATAGCTCACTAGCTGATGAACACCTTGTGTGTAATAGCACAGATATTAAAGGATAAATTAATAATCATTTGAGGTTCTACAGTATGTACAAGTACACTACCTTTTAAAAGTATGGGGTCAATAAGTTTTTTATGAGTTTTTAAATGATTTAGAAGTCTTTTATAGTCACTGTTAGCTCTTATACGCTCTGCATTTATTTGATAAAAAATACAGTAAAACGGTAATATTGTGAAATATTATTGGAATTTAAAATAACTGTTTTCTATTTGAATATATTTTAAAAGGTAAATTATTATTGTGATGGTAAAGCTGAATTTTATTAGCAGTCATTATTCCAGTCTTCAGTGTCACATGATCCTTAATAAATCATTATAATATGATGATTTGGTGCTCAAGAAACATTTTTTTAGTTTTATCAATGATGAAAACATTTTGCTGCCTAATAGTTTTGTGTAAACCATGATACATTTTAATTTTTTGATGCATTGAAAGTTTAAAGAACAGCATTTATTTAAAGTAGAAATCTGCATCATCATAAATGTCTTTACTTCTAATAAAATTATTTGTTTCTTTCAACAAGAAGTTGTAATGACCCCAAATGTTTGAATGGTAGTGTGTGTACTACAGGCGTTTATATACTTGCGTAAAGTGTGTGTTTGGTCTAATGCATGCTGTGAGGAGAATATTTTGGTATGTGTCATGATATGAAGTATTTTTTTCCCCTTTGTTTTGAGAGACAAATATTAAAAACTGCACAAAAATGGTTATACAAATATATAAAAAAAAACTGATAAAGAGTCAAAGCATTTGTTTAACCAAAGCATACTCCGCAGCAGTGTTATGTTGTAATGAGAAACCAGTCGCTTCTGATTTTACAATCCTGTACTTTCATTGCCCTTTAAATTTCATTGACTTTGAGAAAGGACACATGGCTTTATAAAAGTTTCAAAAGGCAAAGTTCTCGAATTGAGTTGATCTCTATCCTGCCTCAGGCTCCTCTCAGGCCCGTTTGCATTGGCAGGAGATTTAATCTTGGTTGGAGGCCCATAAAGGGGCTAGCAAAACACTACGGCCAGATAGAGATGAGAAAATTTCCATTCATTTTGTTAGCTTTTCAGTACTGACCTTATCAGGTCCAAATCACAAGAAGCTACTTTCTGATCATTCTGTTGTTTTACAAGCCACATGATACAAATTGTATTATAAGGCATCATGTGGCAACCCTTGTGAGTTAGTGCAAATCTACAGTGTAACATTTATTCCAAATTCCTACTTCCCTCTGATCTCTGAGACAGCTCATTTCACTGGATATCTGTTGTTATTTTTCTTCCACTGCAGTTAGTTCTCCTTACGTGGCCCTTGAGGATTGAAGGGGGCTATAAAACATGTTTTTAAAGACCCCCGCTAACCTGGGCAAAGGGCAGAGTGATTAGAGTTGTTTTGTAGAAGGCAGAGATAAGTTATCCTGATGGATCACAGTGGGCTTTACATTAATATTTCTCGTTCTGAAGCCTGACCGTCTCTTTATCTGTACGGGGGCTGTGCCTTCTTTACGATAATACAGGAACACATTGTCATTTTTACAAACAAGGGGTTTACGACTCCCATGCAGATTTTTAATCCTTATCCTCTTTCTGCATGTTTCCTTACTCTTATATTTGCAAGTATCTAATCTATGTGTTGCTCGTGTGTATCTTTGTGTATATCAGGGTGTTTGGCACCAGTATGGTGGAGGAGTATGATGAGATAGCTGACTCTCAGTACACCTCAGAGAGAGCCGAGTATCTGGATGAAGACTATGGTGAGATGATCACTCTAAACGATTGCTCACAGAAAGCTTAAAACGTATTGCAGTACAGTATTAATTTACTGTATGGCAGAATTTTATTATTTAATTTAGACAGGAGACTTTATTTATTTGTCGTTTTCCGTTTGCCAGTTGTTCTGCTTGTCCATTGGCTAATGCTGTTGTCTTAATTCCAGACGTCTTTTTTACAGATTACCCACCCGGCTACCTGCCATCAGAGGACAAGACATCAAAGAATCTGCTGGGCTCTGCCACAAGTATGTCATGTTCCTCCATATTCTGCCTGTGCTTTTGATTTCATCTACAGGTTGATTTCAATCTACAGGTTACACTAGCTAAACTATGAACAGAAGTGGTTAAAGGCATTGGCACTTTATAATTAGGATGAACCCCGTTAGTTGCACATTGCACAGATCCACTTTGCTCACGGCAATCCCAGTTGATTAGATTCCAGTTTGCTCAAAGGTACCGTGGCAATCTTTTGTAAAAATGTACTAACTGTAGAATTCAAGGAAGTGATGTGCCCTCCGCCTCAGTTCCTTTTAAAACGTGTTTTGAATATCCATTAGAAAGGTTGTCAAAATTTACTCATCAAACACATTCTGCCAATCACACACACTCTTGATAAATCCTTTTCCTAGTTGATTGGCTAAGCTTGGAGCAGTATGTAAATGAAACCTGTTTAAATGTATATTTAATAGGACAATAATACATCTGTGTTGTTATTGTTTACTAAAACTATTAAAAATTGTTTTCATTAAATGAAATAAAGCTATAATAAAATATAAATATTAGATCAACTTTGGTAACACTTTATTTCGATAGTCCACTTTAGACATTCTACTAACAGTAAGTAACTTTGCAACTACATGTCAACTAGCAGTCATTAGAGTATTAGTAGACTGTCTGCTTAATATCTTCTGACACTTTATTTTGATGGGTCCACAGCATACTGACTATGAGAAACTTTGCAAGTATATGTCAACTTATTCTACTAAACCTAACCTTACAGTCTACTCTGAAAGTTAGTAGACATGTAGTTGCAAATTAATGAGAATTAGTTGACATGTAGTTGACATGTAGTTATAAAGTTACTTATAGTTAGTAGAATGTCTAAAGTGGACTATCAAAATAAAGTATAACCTCAACTTTTTATTTAAGTTAGTTGATAGTGCAACATTTCAAATGTTTATATTTTTAATTTAAGTTGAAGCACTTTTATTTTATTAGAAAATATTAAATCTAAAAAAAAATGCATGTACTTGTGTAGCCAATAGAATGCTATTAATGCCAGTATACATAACACGATTTAATGATGATAATAAATAAGACAAAATTATAACAACTAACTAATTGATATTCATACTAAAAGAATAAATTGTTTTACTAGTTCTACCACGCAATAAGCATACTGGCAGACTGGCAGCATACTTCAATAATTCAAAAGTTAATCACTTTTGGGCAATGATCATTATATTTTAAGATCATTGTATTTGCTTGGCTGAAGTGCAGAAAACAATTCAGCCTGTGTGTTGGCACTGTGTGACATTTACCCCAGTTCCATGCATATAAATGTTGTATTTTTAATATTTTCCTCTGGATTGTTTTTTCTTTCTAGATGCCATCCTGAACATGGTAAACAACATTGCAGCAAATGTGCTAGGAGGGAATCCGGAGCTAGAGGACGGAGCTGAAATGGAAGGTATGGACCTGACCTCTGCCTTGCGCTTGTATATTAAAATCACCCTGTCCTGAGTCTGTACTAAGAAATTACTCCACTTATTTGCTCCTCTTTGCTTGGCAGCTGTTTGTGACTAGTGAGGGCTGTCACCATGCCAACAGTGCTGGAACTGTGAGGCCTGGCAGTGAAAGCACGTCTTTGATGGGTTCTGTAGCTGCGCTTGCCAGCATCAAACTCTCCCAGGGTGTGTGTGTGTGTGTGTGCGCGCAGGCCCAGAGAGAGCTGCTACAAAATGCTGTTCAAACACGCATGTGGCTTTCCTAAAAGCAGAAGTGAAGTTTAAAAACACCCTGCTTCTCTGTATCATGACCATAAACAGTCTGACTAGGAGGCTAAAAGAGAAAAGACTGTTTAACAAGATATTTTTACTGTGGCCCTTGAGAGATTGCAGTCAAATGGATGGCTGAAAGTTTATAAGTTTGTAAAAGGAAAGCACACTAGTTTTTTTTTTTTTTTTTTTACTGTTAGATTGTGGTTGACCGATATGATTTCTTTTTTTAATGGCCAATACCAATACTGTATCTAGATAAAAAGGGTGGTCGATAGCTGATATAATACCAGTATACATACTACTGATTATGGATAGCAAATAACACAAAATTTAATCACCTGACCAAATTTATACCAATAAAATGAATGGACTGATTCTTCCCCACTGAGAGTGAACATACTGGCTATTTTAGTCTTTTTAGACTAACATCCTCTTGGACATTTTGGCAATTCAGAAGTCACTTTTTGGCCAGTTATCATGATATTTTAATAGCTTTTTAAAGGTTGTTCCACCACAGCTTCTACAGTCAATTGAAGAAATGCACAGTTGGTAATCCGAATATGCCTGCCTTGACACATTTTCTAGATAATGTAATCTTCACAGTCATAAGGATTGACTTTGCAAGTATATGTCAACTTATTCTACTAAACCTAACCTTACAGTCTACTCTGAAAGTTAGTAGACATGTAGTTGCAAATTAATGAGAATTAGTTGACATGTAGTTGACATGTAGTTATAAAGTTACTTATAGTTAGTAGAATGTCTAAAGTGGACTATCAAAATAAAGTATAACCTCAACTTTTTATTTAAGTTAGTTGATAGTGCAACATTTCAAATGTTTATATTTTTAATTTAAGTTGAAGCACTTTTATTTTATTAGAAAATATTAAATCTAAAAAAAAATGCATGTACTTGTGTAGCCAATAGAATGCTATTAATGCCAGTATACATAACACGATTTAATGATGATAATAAATAAGACAAAATTATAACAACTAACTAATTGATATTCATACTAAAAGAATAAATTGTTTTACTAGTTCTACCACGCAATAAGCATACTGGCAGACTGGCAGCATACTTCAATAATTCAAAAGTTAATCACTTTTGGGCAATGATCATTATATTTTAAGATCATTGTATTTGCTTGGCTGAAGTGCAGAAAACAATTCAGCCTGTGTGTTGGCACTGTGTGACATTTACCCCAGTTCCATGCATATAAATGTTGTATTTTTAATATTTTCCTCTGGATTGTTTTTTCTTTCTAGATGCCATCCTGAACATGGTAAACAACATTGCAGCAAATGTGCTAGGAGGGAATCCGGAGCTAGAGGACGGAGCTGAAATGGAAGGTATGGACCTGACCTCTGCCTTGCGCTTGTATATTAAAATCACCCTGTCCTGAGTCTGTACTAAGAAATTACTCCACTTATTTGCTCCTCTTTGCTTGGCAGCTGTTTGTGACTAGTGAGGGCTGTCACCATGCCAACAGTGCTGGAACTGTGAGGCCTGGCAGTGAAAGCACGTCTTTGATGGGTTCTGTAGCTGCGCTTGCCAGCATCAAACTCTCCCAGGGTGTGTGTGTGTGTGTGCGCGCGCAGGCCCAGAGAGAGCTGCTACAAAATGCTGTTCAAACACGCATGTGGCTTTCCTAAAAGCAGAAGTGAAGTTTAAAAACACCCTGCTTCTCTGTATCATGACCATAAACAGTCTGACTAGGAGGCTAAAAGAGAAAAGACTGTTTAACAAGATATTTTTACTGTGGCCCTTGAGAGATTGCAGTCAAATGGATGGCTGAAAGTTTATAAGTTTGTAAAAGGAAAGCACACTAGTTTTTTTTTTTTTTTTTTTACTGTTAGATTGTGGTTGACCGATATGATTTCTTTTTTTAATGGCCAATACCAATACTGTATCTAGATAAAAAGGGTGGTCGATAGCTGATATAATACCAGTATACATACTACTGATTATGGATAGCAAATAACACAAAATTTAATCACCTGACCAAATTTATACCAATAAAATGAATGGACTGATTCTTCCCCACTGAGAGTGAACATACTGGCTATTTTAGTCTTTTTAGACTAACATCCTCTTGGACATTTTGGCAATTCAGAAGTCACTTTTTGGCCAGTTATCATGATATTTTAATAGCTTTTTAAAGGTTGTTCCACCACAGCTTCTACAGTCAATTGAAGAAATGCACAGTTGGTAATCCGAATATGCCTGCCTTGACACATTTTCTAGATAATGTAATCTTCACAGTCATAAGGATTGACTCCGTATGTGACAAGAATTCAGAAAATACCATTGTGGCATAATGACTGCTATTCCAAAGCTGTTTTTTTAGATGTCCTTGTTCTGGGTAAGTTTAAACCATGCCAAGCATTATGTAATTTCAAGCTCTCAGAGATCATCACCTGTTGCTAGTTAAGGACACATTTGTGTTTGTATGTTTAATCTTGGGTGCTTTTCTCTGAACAATAGCCCTCTTTGTGTTGAGGAAGGGCAGTATGGAAACCAATGTTCATATCCTCCTTTTCATTTTCTCACTGTCAAAATCTGTTCTTTCTCTCATCTCGCTCAGGAAACGTTTCCACTGGGACAGAAAACGTCACACAGGCGTCAACAGAAACCCCACTCACGCCAGAACCCACCCCTACTGAACAGCCCTCTACGTGAGTCTCACACATACACACTCCCTGCTCATCCAGCACATTAAAACCCCAGATGTTTGCTCAATACTGAGCCACGAGCTAGTCAGCGTATTCCAGCACAGACTGGTTTGAACTGTTTGCTCACATACCAAATCCACCACTGAATTATTTTTCTAATACAGTACGAGCTTATAAAACTTTAATTAACTGTAGCTGCCGCATAACAAGGCTCAGAGTCAGACTCAATCTGCTGAATTATGCAGAGTAGAGCAGAGAATACTATACTCTTTGTTGGTAGCTAAAATTATAATCAAATTAGCCAAAAATATTTAGTTAATTTACTGAACCTTGCACCCTTTCAAACACATAAAAAATACAAATTTTTGATCAACAAATTAAATTATTCACTGAAAAACCTTGCCCTACTTGCAATTGTTTATGAGAGAAATAGCTTTGATTTGTGAAATAATGGTTTGAGTCAAATCTTTTTAGTGAATCAGTTGGTCTGCTTTATAAAACTGGTTTAAACGAGTCATTCACAAATCTGACTAATCTGGTTCTCAAGATCTGGTCACAGTAGCTAACAGCTCACTTAAATGATTATCATAAATATATTAGTAGTATTTTATTATTATTTATAATAATTATATTATCAGTGAATGTTTATATGCACTGAATATTTTTATATACTGCTATAGTATTTATTAATATTATTAATTAGCTTTTATTTTTAATATTTGAGTTTTAATTTAAGTTTCAGTAATTTTATTCGCTTTATCATTTTTATTAGTTTTTATTTTTTTATTTTTAAATATTTATGAATAGCTTTCATTTATTTTTACATCAGTTTTAGTTTTTGTAACTTTAGTACTTCGACTTAAACTAATTTCAGTTAGTACAGTGGGGGAAATATTTATTTGATCCCCTGCTGATTTTGTAAGTTTGCCCACTTACAAAGAAATGAAGGGTCTGT